AGGCAGGAGAATGGCATGAACCCGGGAGGCAGAGCTTGCAGTGAGCCGAGATCGCGACACTGCACTCCAGCTTGGGTGACAGAGCGAGACTCTGTCTCAAAAAAAAAAAAAAAAGAATTGTTGGTTAATATCTTTTCCAATGACAAAGGTCAGTGTAGTTTAAAGTTTAGGAATCAGGCTGTGCTCTGGAGTCAGACTGCCTGGCTTTGAAACCAACTGTGTCCGTCCCTGGCAAATTACATAACCCTTTAGAGCTTCAGTTAGGAAACAGAAATGACATTAGTGCCTACCTTATAAAGACGTTGTGAGGATTAAATGGGATAATGCAAACAAAATGCATAGTCTTACAATGCTACGTATACTCAATAAATACTATTATTAGTAAACGAATTTTCATGGTAATCCAAATGACTGATGAGGACTTGTAAATCTATAGAGTCAGCTATTATTAGTTTGGTGCAAAAGTAATTTTGGTTTTTGTCATTCCTTTTAAGGGCAATTACTGTTGCACCAAAACCTAATAGCAGCTAATGTTGACATTAGCCAACCAAATACAGATGTGATCATTCTGTCCCACGCTGGAAATTAGCATGAATATGGTGGTTGATGGCTGCCATCAACCACCGTTGAACATCTATCTTAGGTTTGATTCTGAATTTATTCAGAACCCATACTTCCATAGGAGACCCCAACACATTTAAAAGTAAAGCTCAAGATTAGGTACTCAGTCATCATCATTTCTGTAGTCCTCCTTTGTTCTCACTCTGGGGAGAACCCAGAGGTCCTTTAAATGAAGCGCCTGAGTGCACAAATGAGGGACTTTGTTCCTGGATCTGACTTGGAGTATTGGCTCAGCCAGGGGCACTCCTAGAAGGAACGTTTGGGCTTGCGTGATTTCACTTCCCTGGAGTGACAGAATTTATCTTTCTCTCTCTCTCTTTCTGAATATAGGAAATCTGGGTGGTATCTCCACATTTTTAAGCAAATGGAAGTTGTGAAGCTGCCAAGTAACCTCAAACCTCTCTCTCCTTGAAAGGATGTGCTGCACCAAAGGGAAAGAAGGAATTAGTCAGAAACCACAGAGCAATTAATGGCCAAATCAACCCTAATGAAATATTGCCTAGAAAGCAATTCACTCCATTGCAGGTCAGTTGGGATGTCCACAGAAGAATGCACACTGCAGTTTCCTTGGTTGACCAAAATGAATCAAAACCCAGCACCCCCATTTGCTGTGTGTCTGAGTGTGTGTGTGTGTGTGTGTGTGTGTGAGAGAGAGAGAGAGAGAGAGAAAAGGAGAGAGAGAAAAAATGAGTTTTTCCTTTGCATATGTGAAATTGATTTTTTTTGTAGTGGGGAAACACTGTGTAAAATCTTAGAATAACTAACGAAGGAGACTGTATCATCATACTAAGAAAGAAAAGTCTAGATAAATATTTGCTATCTGTAATGACTGCTTTAAACATCTGCCTGAATGAAGACAAAGAGTCAGACAAAAATACTCCCTTTAGCTGGGAGATTCCGACTCCCTACTGCTCCATGCAAGGAATCTGCTTGCAGGACCCCTTGGAATTGTCAGTGTCTCCTCCAGCAAAGTCTTATCCCTCCCTCTAGGCAGAAGAAACTGCCTCAGCAAAGGAAGATGCAAGAAAGCACATGCCACAGGAATGTGAGTCTTACTGCAGGCAAATAGCATGGGAACCCCCAAACAGCAGAATCTAAGACTTGTCTTCTACTTCCTAAGGGGTAGGCTACCCGTTTCCAGACCCTACTCCTCCCACCCTTCGCTGCCAGGGTGTCCCTCAGGATGGCGTCCCCCCTGGTTTGTATTTGCTTGCTTCCACCATGCACAATGCACTTCCTTGGTTTTGACAACAGAGCCTTTGATTCATTCTAGCTTTGTGTGTGTGCACCTGCATCTATATGAGCCGAGGAGACATATTTACATTTCACTGGCATACCTTTTATGATGTTGTCACCAAGCCATATTGTCTCCAGTTGTCAGCTCCAACATCTCTGTTATGAAAAGCGCACGTGGTAAGGCTGCCCCTCTATTTCATACATTACTTATTCTTCAATGGGCCAGAACGGGGAATCTTGGCTTCTTAACTTTCTCAACCACAAACCCTGAAGTCTGAATATATTTACTAGGTGCTGTAACAAGCGCATTCAAGGAGGTTTTTTCCAGGGATGGAGATCAAGTGGCTTCCATTAATATCTAACATCTCCTCACAGCATCTCAAAGTTGCTGAAGAGAGACCTGTTGTAAGATCTGCACTCAAAGAGCCCTCCCTGAGATTGCCTGTTGTGGGAAGGACTTTGCCAGGACCGTGACCCAGGTTTGTGACTTTTCCAATTAGGAAACAGCTATTGATGATTCTAGTGAGTGACTTAACATTGCTGCTTTCAACGGACACTTGGCTTGCTAGTTGTATGACTGTGCAGAGGAGAACTGAATGCCATCCAAGCGGGGGTCCCTCCAGCTAGGTGGAGGCTATATTAGCTCAAAGAAACTACAAAGATAGAACATTCAGGAGCTTGACAGTAATCTCCTCTGGTTGAACTCCTAAGTTGAGGGTAAATACTGGCCACCATTTTCTGGTTATCATGATCCAGTGAAAAATTCATTCCTTTCTTTAACAATTGAAGATTGGAGTAAGTCATTAACAATTGAAGATTGGAGTAAGTCAGATCGAAAAAGCCAGTGCAAAGAAGTGTAGATTGCTTCCAGGAATGTGTCAACCAGTTCCTTTATCTAAAAGACTTGTCTTTCCTGTGCTCACTTTACCCCTATCCACACCCTAACTGGTGTGGATCTCACTGTCCACACCACAGCATCAGGCCTGAGGACTGGCCTCATTGCTCACATTCACAAAACAATTATATTCTACAGATCATTCTTGGGGAAAAATGCCAAGAGAAAAGAAATGGGGGAGGGAGAATTTCTTAGGCAAGAATCTTAAATGTAAAAACTCCACAAAAGATGTCTCCAATTTTCATATCTCCAAAAAGAAAATTTCAAGGAATTTAGATTATTTTGTCTGAATAACAGAAGGCCTGGGGGTAGAAGGATTAGAGTTGAATCATGATCTTCAAGACTACAAAATACCTTTGTTTCCAAATAATAGTCTTCTTTGGCAATGAAGGCTGAACATTCAGGAGGCTGGGGGCTGGAAGATTAGGAGGCATACAGTATTTTGGTAGGAAGTTGTAGATTTGGTTCCTCTGTTAAGTTCGTGAAAGAAAATGAATGAAGCCGGGTGCGGTGGCTCACGCCTGTAATCCCAGCACTTTGGGAGGCTGAGGTGGGCAGATCACAAGGTCAGGAGATGGAGACCATCCTGGCTAACACGGTGAAACCCTGTCTCTACTAAAAGTACAAAAAATTAGCCAGGCATGGTGGCGGGTGCCTGTAGTCCCAGCTACTTGGGAGGCTGAGGCAGGAGAATGGCGTGAACCCGGAAGGTGGAGCTTGCAGTGAGCCTAGATCGTGCCACCGCACTCCAGCCTGGGCAACAGAGTGAGACTCTGTCTCAAAAAAATAAATAAATAAAATAAAATAAAAAAATAAAGAAAATGAATGAGTCTCTACAGTGGAAATGACTGGGTTAGGACCAAGTGAACTGCGGGGCTCCTGTCTGCCCTGTGACTCTGATATTTTCCATATGTGCCTCGATGGACAGACAGGCAATCAGGCCATTAGAACAATGGTGGGGAGTAATGGTAGCTCCTGCCCATGCCTGTGAGAGGCCCTCAGCCAGCCTGAGGGTATGGGAGATTTGGGGGTGAATGGCTCCTTTGGAGTGCTCAGTAAGAAGCAGCAGAGAGCATGAGGAAGAGCAGAGGAAGCCCCAGACGTGCAATCGGGGGGACAAGAGAGCATCTCCCTTCCTCAGGAATATTCGTGCAGCTCCACATGGCAGGGCCTGGGGAAATGAAGGCAGTGGAGAGACAGGAGGCTGGACAGTGAGCTGGTCCTGGCGGTGCAGGGCTGGAGCCCACGCTGAAGCCACTAGCTCTACTCTAGGGACGGTGGGAAACCCCCTAAGAGCAAACCCAAATAAACCTGGGCCTGCGTATGACCTCCCACACCCAGCAGGGAATTCTGGTCACTCTTTCCACTTGGTTAGAACCTAGGAGCTGGGTGGGTGGCTGGGGGAGGAAGCAAAGTCTGATTTTCACCGTACAGCACCCTGGAAAACTCCCTTACAATCCTCTGAAGACTTTTTCTCCCCGAATTCCACTCATTCTGAAGGGGTAGGTATCTGCTATGTCATAATTTCATCCGTGTCACAGAAGAGTTGTAAGTAGAGAATGAGATTTACATTCTAAAGACCATTCTGATGTCAGTTCTGAAAGGGGCCAAAGGGAACTGTCAGAAACAAATGAGGAATTAGAAGGACAGAGAACACTGCTCCTGTGGGTAAGAGATTCCGGATCATGGCAGCAGAAAGAATTATTTTTTTCTGATATGAAAAATGAAGACACTGAAGCCCAGAGAAGACAATGACTAGCCAGCCTTTCACTCCTTGTGTTGGCCCAGTGTGTGGGAGTGAAGGTGGGGAGCAAAGGAGACAGAAGCTCACTGGCTGAAGTGACCTCACAGCATCCTTTGCAGTGGACAGAAAAATAATTCCTGTTCAAAAAAAAAAAAAGTGTTTTGTTTTTGTTTTTGTTGTTTTTTTCTTTAGATTCTGGGGTCTGCGTTAAACCCCAGAACAATTTACCTTGTTCTTCCCAGAAGCCTTGCGCAGCAAGAGTAGGGAGGCCGAAGGCACTGACCACTAGAGGGGGCGCTGCCTCCACCTGGCACAGACCACTGGGTGTGGGGCGGGGAGGAGGACAGCCCCTAGGTGGCATGCAGGGTGGCGCTGGGTTGCAATGAAGTGTTGCTGTATCAAAGGCTTTCTGTACACAAGGTATAACAAACCTTAAACTCCGGGTTTATGCCCAGGGATGGGAAAGGGACATGGGAAAGAAAGACAATATGGAAACTCAGATACCTCTGGAAGAACTGTGAGTAAAGGCAGGGTGCTCCTCAGAGGTTCCCCAGAACCCCCAGTGCTTGTTTTGGACAGGAAACGCTGAAGGAAGAGCATGCAGTTCATCTTTTGATGAAGCATTTTAGAACAAGTGCATTCAGATCAGATCTGATGCAGAGCCAGCGCTGCAGGACAGCTCCCTGTGTCCCGACAGGGGGGATGCTGGTTATCCTTTATCCACGGGCTTAGAGCGCAGATGCTAAGCAGAGGGTTCTGAAGGTTGTACCTTTCCCCGCTCTGCATAGCTGAGTGTGAGCAGGGAGAGATCATGCTCAGAGATGTCGCTAAAGGCCGGCTGGTAGGAGGAGAAATGGGAGCAGGGCTGAGTTTCAGCTGGTGCTCCCTGCTCCATTGTGGGGTATTGTGAGCTCTGTGGGGTCACAAGGACTCACTCCTGGCTGGGCGGGAGGTGGCTGAGCTGATGCAGTGGTGTTCAGGGTGGCAACTGCTACCTTGCCTGGTCTCTTACTCCGGCTATTAGCAGACTGCTAGCCTCTGTTTACCAGGAAGCAAAAGTGTCCCTCTGATTCCTGAGACTACTTCTAAGGTACATCTCAATGAGAAAATAACAAGAAACAAAATAAACGGGTCTCCCTCCCACTGCAAACTACCCTCACCACAAACTATCCCCATTCTTAATTAGAGAGAGGAAATGTGGTGGGGGGCATAGGAGCTGGAGTCGCAGTTATGCCTCCGCTCTGTGCCCTCATGGCAAAGCATGCCCCCGACTCTGGATTTTGGAGGCTCCCTGCACACAGCCAGGGTGTCTGAGGGAGTTCAGGGGCCCTCTTGCTGAAACACAGAGCCCATGGGATTGCCTTCGTGCATCACAGGGAAAAGAGCCCTTCTTGTTGACAGACCCAGCCGTCACGCCCATGATGAATTGCATGTCTACGCGGGGACTGCTGTTGTGGTTTCCCTTCTCTCCGAAGGTTCATCCCCAGGTCTCGTGGCACTTTAGAAAATGAACTGCTATAATTCCACTCTGAGCACACAGCCCTCCACAACCAGGTCTCTTCACTCTAACATGGCTGCTGGCATTGTCACTCAGGAGGCCAGCAGTGGGTAGCCTCGATGGCTCCTCCCTGCAGAAGCAAGGGAGGCGTTCCTGCTGGCTGCCTCCTAAAGAAGGACTGCTGATGCTGATATTCCAAGGAGCCAGGAAGAACTGCCAGCTTGAGGGAGTGTGGAGGGAGGCGGAGCCGGCTGCAGTCACAGAGGGACACAGCAGGACCTAGAGCTGCTCCTGGAGCAGTACTTCCTCACTGGGCACCTGAACTCAATGCTATGTATTTTAGTTTTGGTGAACCAATATCTCCGATTTTCTAGAACAGTTTGTCTCTGCCACTCTCAAGCTCACCAGATCATCCCCTGCTCCGAAAATAGAAAAAAGATGGTCCCCATGGCTATAGGAGATTCATAATTTATCACTTCATGCTAATTCAATTTTATAATCATACATACGGTTTTCAGGTTATCTATGGCTGTGTGAAAACCCACTTTAAACCTGAATGGATTTAAAACTATAGCCAGCCTTAAACTATAGCCAGCCTTTGTGAGTCCCTTGTGGGTGAAGAGTTTGAGCAGGATTTGGCTGGGCAATTGTTCTGCTCCATGTGGCACTGGCTGGGGTCACTCAGTGGCAGCTGGACTGGCCTGGAGCATCTGACAGCTTCACTGATTCACCAGGTGCCTTGGTGGGGACAGCTGGACTGTTGGGCTCACCTGGTCCTCCTGCCTCTCTGTGAGCCTCAAAGCCTCCAAGTGCCTCTCTGTGGCTTCTCTAGCAATGTAGTGGGATGTTTCACAGGGCAGCTCAGGGCCTAGAGACCAAGGCAGGACCTGCCAGTCCCCAAAGCAGCATAGCATCACTTCCAGCACACTCTATTGGTCAAAGTAGCCACAGGCCACCTCAATTCAGAGGAGGGGAAATAGAGGCCATTGCTCAATAGCAGGAGTGTCACATAATTTGAAGCCATCTTTAATCTGCCACCAAAGTCCACTTATGGATGGAAATGATTTATCTCTATAGACAAGGGGTGTTCTTCTTGTTCCAGGCACACTCCTAACACTCTCAACAGAAACCTTCTTTCTTCAGTCCTGATGCGTGGGGACCGATTCATCAGGACGTTTTCTAAACCGTTTGAGGAGGTGTGGGTTACGCAGTGATCAGGGTATACACAAAACAACACAACACTGCCTTTAATGCACATCAGAACTGACAGTAATTCTTCTATGCTTTTCCCCTACCTGGGTCATCCAGATGACCTTATCTCAGGTTACAAGGTGTGTTTGGTAATAATAAATGTTGGCTTTGTGTATCTAGTATGTAGAATTAATTCCCCTTTGGAGAGTTCCATGTGGCCTGGCCACTGATCTAAGAGGATCAGTCTTTTTCAAAGACAGGATTCTCTAGTTTTCCTTTTAACTCTCTCAGTGAATGTTGACTGAGTATACACTACATGATGGTTATGGTGTGTGATTTTCTTTACACACACTTATCCCGATATCTTTCAGGGCTTCAACCTTTGGGTCACTGCAGGTGAACCTGGGATATCAGTGGAGGTAGAGAACATGCCAGGGCAGAATCCTAGGCCCTAGACTGTAGGAACTGTTTGGCAAAAATGTGAATTTCAGAAGCTGAACTACCCTGGCAGATGGCAAGAGGAGATTCTGTCTCATAATTCAAGCACCAGAAAGTACTACTCTTTAGACCAGATGCACCTAGAGAAAGTTTCTGACAGGTGTACCTTGCTTGCCGTGGAAATGCAGAAGGCTCTTCTCTCACAGGTTTGGGAATGTCTCCTTGAGGGCATTTGGGCTGGTTTCAAGCTGTCGTGTGACATGGCCCATGGGTATCCTTGGCAGTTCCATTCTAAGTACTTCCAAAGTTCTCTGACAAGGCTAAAAACTCCTCATTCAACCAAAGATTCTTGCACATTATTTAAATAGGATGCAAATGCATGGTCTGCTCTGAGCCCTGGCAGCTTTCAATTTTTATATTTTCAGAACGGTGAGGCCTGCCATCAGTTCACTTGAAGTTCAGTCCAAGATGTGCCTGTCCCTGACATTTGTTCATTCTTTATGAAGGTAACATTTTGAAGAATTTAAAAAGAAGTCATCTTTGTACTCCACTCCCTACCACCCTCCAAAACAAATTTTAAAAAATATCAGACATTTGTTGCATGCATAATCGCTGGAACGTGACTAACTTCTTTCCCACCGCCTGAATTTCCAAGTTGGATTCTATAATCCCTCTCTTTGGCAATCCACGGTCTATTTCTTTTCTGATATTTCGGTGATAGGAACTGCCTCTTTGACCCAAGGGATTAGGCTCATAAGAGCATGAGCAGATTCCGTCAGATGGTTGAGCCTGGCTGCTGTTGGGATGAATGGCAGGGGATCAAGCCCGCCAGTGACAATGCAGAGAGTGAGTGCAGAGGGAGGGACGATTCTTCTCTTTGTGCTCCTTCCCTCCTGTCACAGTGTGAGTCTCGAGCCCATTCACTCACAAGCTGAGCACGTAGCTTAGAGCTGACAGAAGCCCCACCTTCTTTGCACCGGGGTTCTGTCGGGAAGGGAGGCCTGCCTGAAAGACAAAACCACAGGCCGAGGAGCAGAGAAAGGATGGACTCAGGGAAGGGCTGTGTGGGTGGCATCTCCTCTCCGTAGGCTGCAGGTGCCTCTCAGGCTCTTCCAATTCAGTGTGTGTGTGTGTGTGTGTGTGTGTGTACAGAAAAAGCATATATATCTCTACGTGTGTATATATACACAAATATATATACTATATATATACATGCTCTCTCTATACATACTGTGTGTGTTTATATAGATATATACACATACATACACTTTACACATTATGGCTAGTCCAGAGAGAAAGAAAAGAGAAAGGGATAAGGAAAATAAAGAAGTGAGAAAGGAAAGAAAAAGAAGGAAAAAGTATATAGAAGGTGTGGTATGGCAGATTGGTAACTGTTCCTCCAAAGCTCCAACGTCTCTTTGCCCTTTCTTCCTGGACACGCGTCCATCCCACTGGAAACTACATTTCCCACCCTTTCTGGTGGTGAATCAGGCCTTGTGACTCGACTCTCACCAATGAAGGTGAGGGGAATTGACATACGCAGTTCCGGCTTTGCCTGCCCAAATCAAAATCGGTGCCTTTGGAGTCTCTCCTTGGGCTCCTGTGTTCTGGAATGCTGATTGTGTTAGCTCAGCTCGGGCCACCACGAAGTATGAAAGGAGAGAAACCTGGGTCCCTGAGTGAGCTGGTGGAGCAAAAGAGCTGCTCTGCTAGCCAAGACTGGCACTAGACTGCTCCATGAGAAAGAAAGACAGCATCATATTTAAGTTAATTGTATTTCAGTATCTCTTTACTGTAGCACAGAGGGCTATGATCTGTAAAGAAGGGAAGAGGAAGAGGAAAAACTGAGCACTTATGAAAAGAAATTTTAATGTGGTGACACATACTTTAGTGTCTGTGATGACACTAAAAATACAGTTAGAGAGAATAAGAGAAAATGACCTGGTAACATGGAGAACAACTGATGAGAGGGCAGCTGTTGGGAGGGTGCTGGGGAAAGGTTGAAACCGCTGCCCACTTCTCCCAGGCCTTACCTGACGACCATGCTGTCTCCTACAACACTTGTAGGTTATTAGATCTCCCATGTTTACCTGAGTGTCTCAAAAGGATAAAGATGACCAAGTTAGAGGCATAAGTGTTGGTAAAGCAACAGTGTGATAATTCTCCAGTGGAATAGGTGGCTTACAAAGCAACGAGCACCCATCTCTGAGTGTGCTCAAGAGAGGTTGCACAACCACTTCTTGTGGATGATCCCTATGTTGACCGGGCAGGCAGAGGTTGCAGTGAGCCGAAATTGCGCCACTGCACTCCAGCCTGGCAACAGAGCAAGGCTCCATCTCAAAAAAAAAAAAAAAAGGAAGAAGAATTTCGTATCCAACTAGAATAACCTCCAGAAAAGGTTTGAGTCAGGAAAGTTGAGTAACTTCTTACAGGCTATGCAAATTATTTTCATTTCACATCACTATTCACTTGAGCAGTGAGCTTTACACACTTATCAGCTCTTACGCTTGCTCTTTAAACATCCCCAATAACTGGCTTCAACTTTCTTTTTTCCCCATGTAAATCACAAGCTCATCATGAGCTGTCTTTTCCCTATATACTCTAGCAAAATTCTAGTTTCACGGTTTTGCATTCAGTGGCAGCCTCAGATATCCTACCTGACAGGGTAAGGCCAGCTGCCTAAGCCTGTGCAGTAGGCTT